ACTAAGTACAACCGTATGCAGTCAAAACATAAACAAACAAAATGTGAACATAGCAGACGAAACTCGTACAGATTATAGCTTTCTCATTAGGTATCACTATACTAAATCAAAGAATTATTTGAAAAGACGATATCGAATTCGTCACTGAATTCCCATGTTTTTTGGGACACCCTGTACATAAATTCAAAAAAATTTACTTTACTGGATGGTTTGGAAGTATAAGTATTTAGATTTAGACTAAATATATATGATCAGGAAGAATAAATGTTTAGGCTGGAGGATCAGGAAGAATAAATGTTTAGGCTGGATGATCAGGAAGTATATAAATGTTTAGGCTGGATGATCAGGAAGAATAAATATTTAGGCTGGATGATCAGGAAGTATATAAATATTTAGGCTAGATGGTCAGGAAGTACATTAATATTTAGGCTGGATGGTCAGGAAGTACATAAATATTTAGACTGGATGATCAGGAAGTATATAAATATTTAGGCTGGATGATCAGGAAGTATATAAATATTTAGGCTGGATGGTCAGGTAGAGAATGGCCTGTATCTGGTGGAGTAGAAACTGGAAAGGACGGAGGGATCTCACATTTTGAACTCGTAGGTAAACATTTTATAAATATCAATTTTTAAAACCAATAAATAAAGTTACCGAAAATCCAAGATAAATTATTTTGTTTCCCTTTTTATCCTACATATTCTTCTCATGAAAGCTGCCGCTCATTAATCTTTATTAAGTTGACTCTTTTATCATTAGTATCCATCAGAGACAGTCCTGATCTGGAATCTATAAAGTAATTAATCCATAGTTAATTAATGGTTAACTAATCCATCATTATTTAGCGAACTCCTAATCCAATTTTAGGAAAAGAAATAACGATCTGGTGATTTATCAATTTGAATAAGAAAATTTAGACTCTGGGCCGATCAAAATAACCTGATTTTACAGGGTTACCCTTAACCACTTTTTCCTTACATTTAAAGTTCCTGCAACTATAAGATTATTACCTTATAGAACATGTTGTTTTTCAATTAATTCATATTTCATATGATAATTTTTACAAATAGAAATTATAAGTATTGGATATACGTCTTTAGGTATGTTTTTGTTTGAGTGGTATTTTTTTATGAGTTATGGTGTTTTTGAAGCTTTTTGCAGAAAAAAATGGAACATCATCTTACCTTGTTAAAAATTTGTTTTAGATTTTTCTTAGAGACATTAATCACCAAACCTTTCGTTTTTAAATATCCTTTTTTTCTCGTTTTTTTTTGTCAAATAACGGTTTGTAATATGGTCATTCATTCTCTTTACTGTCTGAACAATCCCTTTAATAAACCATGTTTTCAGTAACTGGGCATGCTGATGGTTCAGTTAGGTTCTGGGATGCAAGCAGTAACTGTATGCAGGCCCTATGTAGGCTTAGAACACAAAAACTTTTTGAAAAGGTCAGTTTTAAATAAAATTAGCTTTAAAGATTTGATTTAAAATGTTTTTATAGAATAAGAACGGTAAGGTAGATGTACTGGAGGAAGACCCATACGCAATCACTGGTATTGTGCTCTCACAGGACTGCAAGCAGCTCCTAGTTGCCGGTCAAACTGCACAGGTACTTAGACAGGGGCGTTTACAGGGGAGGGGTATGGTGCTATTCACCATCTATTATTATTATTATTATTATTATTATTATTATTTTTTTATTAAGGTATCTTCTGAGCGTGGAACAGAGGGTTCACCACATTTTGAATTTCCTCCCCGTCCCCTCTTAGGAGTAGCTTCACAACATTCATCTTATACAGGGATACAAAGATATATTACAAAAAAAAACTAATTTTTATGGTTCTTTATTATGAAGCTTTGCTCTAGACCTAAATATTTCCGGTACTGAATTGTGAAATTAGAACGTTCCTAGAAGTCTGATTTAACTTTTAACTTCCAACATACTACTGCATACTTTGGAAGTAGAAAACAACTTTTCTTAATTTTTGTCCACTGTTTTCCCGGTTTAAAGGTGATTTTGTAGAAGGGAATCGTGTTCAAATTACCTAAAAACTGCCGAGTGTACGCTAGCGTACAGTTTGAACTCAATGCAGCTGACTTTTCACATTTTTATGTCCAACTCGTCCAATGCAGACCCGTAACTAGGATTTGGAAAGGAAGGTGCACTTTGTGTAAAAAAGGGGCGTCGCAGGCGAAAATTTCTTCACACAATTATAATAGAAAACGTACATATTATACAAACTGACATTTGTGAATACTTGTTATACAAAACAAATCAATTTAAAAAATTATATAAAAAAGAAACATCAATTATGAAGGTTAATATTTTGCTAAAGAAAACAAAAATTCAAAAATCTACACTAAAAGTAATTGAGCGCAACAAACATAAATTTTCTAATCCTTGAATTGTTACAACCTGATTGTGTAAATGTTTGACATTTCAAACTTGCAATACTTGATCTACCAGAATTTTTAGTTTGAAATATCGAAGGTTTAAGAAATCTAATTGTAAAAATTAGGGATTCAAAAATAAGAGAATGTGGCAAACACTCAATTCATTTCTTACAATTTTGTATGTGTAGTAAAAACTTTTTATTAATCAAGCAAAATAATTTCAAGATTGCATCCCTTGTGTCAAAAACTGTGCAACCCCAGTTGAATGAAAATATTCCAGAAAGCTAATATCAATTTTTTTAAATTAACAGCAGCTTGACATTAAGCCTCCAGTCCCTTGAATATTTGGATCTATACAGAGGGGTGACAAGCACTTGGAATTTGTAATAGTGTTCAAAAACTTATATTAAGAAGAATAAAGATTATTAAAGAGAAAAATGAATTATATTGATGATTATTTGTATTTCATGAAGAAAATGAATCAAATACGAAGAATAATTAAGAATAAAAATAGAAGTTTTAATATATTACTTGGAAACAATCATATGTTTTTTTCTTTTTCATTCATTTTCTGTAAATTCATTTTGTTAAATGTAATTTTGTCTAGCTTACACTTTCATATTAGACTTTGGACAATATGATATTCATGCTTAAATATTTACATATATTGGACAATAGGATATTCATGCTTAAATATTTACATATATTGGACAATGTACAGTAGTAGAAATTTGTGTGGGAAGTAGCGGGAATCTTCAACGCTTGATTTCGCATCCAGTAAAACAACTTTTTAGTTTACTTGATATGTGTTTGATCCCTGAATTTTAGTTCTCTTTTCAGGATACACTTCCACAGGATATCAAATAGGAATTCATTTTATACCTTCGGACTGCATAAGATAGCCCCCCCCCTCTGGAAAGTTAAGGCAATGGAAGCTCCTGGGTCTGGAGTTTAAAATTATTATGTTTAAGAAAACTCTGTTCTACTTCGCTTTCTTCAATGACAAGATTATGTTATTAGTTCTAATTTCTGAATTACTTCTATTTTGTAGGTTATCCTGTTTAAATTCGGTAAAAAGGATGGAGTTGGAGAGGTGGCTTGCCTAGAAATACCAATCATTTATGAGGTGAAAAGAATTCTTCTTGTCTTTATGCAAAAATCATTTAATTATAAGTATTAATTTTCTTGTTTTTGTTATTTTATACTTTTCATCACTCAAGGTAGACATTCTGCATTTTTATACTTTTCACCACTCAAGGTAGACATTCTGCATTTTTATACTTTTCATCACGCTAAGTAGACATTCTGCATTTTTATACTTTTCATAACTCAAGATAGATATTCTACATTTTTATACTTTTCATAACTCAAGATAGATATTCTACATTTTTATACTTTTCATCACTCAAGATAGACATTCTACATTTTTACACTTTTCATCACTCAAGATAGACATTCTACATTTTTATACGTTTCATCACTCAAGATAGACATTCTACATTTTTACACTTTTCATCACTCAAAGTAGACATTCTGTATTTTTATACTTTTCACCACTCAAGGTAGACATTCTACATTTTTATACTTTTCATCACTCTACGTAGACATATTCTACAGATTATACTTTTCTACATCTTTCTATCCTTATCTATTATTGTCAATAAATAGATACCAGTTTCCAATTCATTCATTCATTCATTCATTCATTCATTCATTCATTCATTCTCCTAATTTTCTTTCTTATTGTGATTTAATCTTCTTGAATCCATAAATCATCTTCTTAAAAACGGAAAAAATCACAATACGCAATAGAATTAAAAGTCATATTTGGACCAAATATTTTTAATTAAATATTTCCTCGTAGAGAGTAAATTAACAATTTACGTCGCAGTTTAAATATTTTCTAATTTCATTTAACATTTAGGTTCGGGCTGGTCAGTTAAAGAAACCTGCTGGATACCAACCAGAGCTAACCTGTCTCACCCCTTGGGTAAACACAGAGCCCCCTTCTCCTATCTCCTGCCTCACCCTGAACCCTGTATTCGGACTCCTTGCCTATGGGAACGGATCTGGACTGGTTATTGTCGACTTTATCCAGCAGAAATGTTTATTAAACATGGGTACTGCTGATCTGTACGGGAGTAACGACCCATATCAGCGCATGCCGCGTTCTCCACGCCTGCTGCCGGCCAGCCCATCTGATGACGTCATTGTGAAGGTTGACCTCAGTAATTATTCACAAGTAACTAAATCAAAGGTACTAAATTTGGATATTTTAAATCTCTTAGGAAATATGTTTTTCATGCAAAAATAGTGTTGTTTGTATGTATGTATTAGCCTTTTTTATGCTATAATTATCAAAATTGTACATTTAATTAATTTGATGAGTAAATCTCAAACATTGACATAAAAATATCAATCCATTACTACTTATGATGCCTCAGACCTAATTTTAGTAAAAGCATTTGGGGTTTGAGAGTGGGAGGAGGTCACCCTTAGAGCTAATTTGATTCGATTTAATTTCCCTTGATTAGATTTGATTTGATTTGATTTGATTTAGGTTTGATTTGATTTGATTTGATTTGATTTGATTTGATTTGATTTGATTTGATTTGATTTGATTTGATTTGATTTGATTTGATTTGATTTAACTGTGTAAATATTAACTAGGACGAGGAGAAGAAAGATGAGAAGACAGAAGAGAATGGAACCCCGAAGGAGAACCTGAATGTAACCCTGAGTACCGGAGTTAAAGCCAAAAATCGTCCTCGTCCTCTACAAAAAGCCGGGACGGGTAGTTCAGCTGAGGAGAATAGTTTGAGTAAATCTAGGAGCTCAAGTGTTGGAAGCATGGATCAGATTGTGGAGGGGGAAGGAGTTACTGCTCTCCACTTTGGGACATCCTTCCCCAACCGTTTAGATTTCGAACTTTCTTCATGTCTCTTCATCGGGACATCCCTGGGTTCTATTCTTATCATTGTTATTCAGCTACCAGAGACTGGAGAACTTAGGTTAGTTTTTTAAAGTTGTGAATATTATTTTTCTTATTTAAAAAAGATATTTTCTTTTCTGACTAAAGCAACATGGTTGTGGGATTATCCTAACCTCAAAGATATTGGATTTGTCAAGACGACGGGATCAAAGTAAAACCGAGGGAAAGATTAAACAATGTTTTTTATACATTAACATTTGAATTTTTTTTCAGAAAGTTTTATATGATATATGTATATACGGGCCGGGTGGTCAGAATTTGTAACTATAAAATCAGATCGGAAAGTATTAGAAGACAGGATAGGCATTTGAATGAACAACGAAGATACATTAGGATGAGACAGAATTTAACAGGATGGTAACATATGGGATTACAAAGTTCAATATCTGACGGAACTTGTTATTATAGGACAGGGTAGGTAAGGAAGGAACAGAATTGGTTAGAATCGGACTAGATAGACCAGGATGTGACAGGATATATCAGGTCAGGTTAGGATGGAAAGTAGAGGTCAAGATTAAAGGATAGGCATAAATGGTTAAATGGTTAGGGAGGGACATGAGTATACCGCGAAGGAAAGGGGGATACCAAAATTTGATAAATCGGTCAGGTTGGGAAAATAGGGGCCAGGATGGTAAAAGTATATGTAATATTGTATATTGTATATTGTATATAGATAGGAACTAATCAATTTATTAATTAGTATGAATATTGTAGAGAGAGTGACCCTGTGATAGTATCTCCAAGTTGTTCTCTGCTCAAGCTACGGTCTGCAGTACTAGAGATGGGACTCTTAGACTCATCCTTCTCCTTGATGGATCGTCCTGATCCTCCTCAGGGTATCCGGCACACCAGTAGGGCAGGACAAGGAGCTCCAGCCACACCTCAAGCCACGCCTCAGGGAGATCAGCAGGTTCTAGCAGTGTGTACGGAGAAGGGCGTGTCAGTGTTTGCCCTCCCAAGCCAAAGATTGACGGCTAGCTCCATGTTCTCCGAGGGTGTGACTGGTATTCGTAGTTCTATACTAAGCTGGGGCGGAGCTAAAATGTCTCCTCTTATTCTTATATTTACATCCGACGGAGGAATCAAAGGTAATGAAATTACCGAAAAAATATTTTAAACAATTTAAAATTTAGAATCAAATTGAGATTTTTGAGAAAAAATTCAAAATTCTTAAAATATTGTAAATTTGTCAAATATTCAGGATTCTCTCTCCCATCTCTCCGTCCTATGATAGAGAGCAATCTGGTGTCTGTCAACTCTCCGAGGATATCCAGGACCCTGAGATTTTCCACTGGAGGGAATGGAGTATATTTCACCAACCCAAACCAAATTCAGAAATTTAGCGTTAATGCCGAGTCTATCAAGTCACACAGAGAAACCTGTGGTAAACTTTTCCAGGTTAGTCGGGATTATTCTTTTGATAGTTGCATGGTACTTTGTCTCGTAGTTGATTGTTACAAATATCAAATTATAAATTACAAATAACAAATTACAAATTACACATTACAAATTACAAATTATACGTTACGAGTTACAAATAATATAAAAAATTACAAATTTCACATTACAAATTACACATTAAACGTTAAAAATTATAAATTATACATTACAAAATACAAACAACACATACAAATTACAACGGCAAATTAGAAATAACTAGACAACTATCTAGATTTTACGTAATAATTAAGAGGTACTAATCATGCATTTTTCGGGATGTTTAATAAAAAATAATAATAATCATTGAACAGAAGTGTACACTGGTACTTTTTTCCAGCAAATTCTGATTTTTGATTTCTCTTATCTTTGCAACCCAATGTCGTGGTCTACGGAGGGGAGGAAGGCCAACCAAACCAATTTTTCGACCGAGTCACATTCTCCTCATTTTTCTCGTCCGAGCCACCTCGAAATCCTCTTCCTTCCAATATTATTTTTTTAAGTGTTTAATCCTTCTAGATAAAACTATTTTTTAAGAATCAGGCCTCGTCAAGAAATAAATGAAATATTGAATTTTTGTAAATCCAATAAAATGTTTCAATTGAATTAAAATTTTCACGTTTAATGTCCCCACAAATGTTCACCTTTATTTCGTGCATTTTCAGATATTCCTGGTGTAGAATGCCGCAAATAATTCCGAGTTTAAATAGAACTTAATCATTTTTGTTATTTATCGTGAAAACCATAGATTTTTTCCGGGTGGTTCTATCTGGAAAATGATAGGCAGAGATATGCCAAATATTTTGCCATTTTATTTTTATCACGAAGGTTAGCCATTATGTGAGCGGTAGTTAGATATTTCTTGCCGCGGTATATTTTATAAAAGGCGGCCTGCACTTGGTTGAATGAACTTCTAATCTCTCTCAACTCTATCTGCTATCAATTATAATGAATACAATTATCGATAGTGTTTGTATTATTAAAATATGTCTATATAAGATTTAGGTTAGAGCAATTAAAAATACTTTGCTAGCTGAGGCAAATCTTATAGCTTTGATCCGAATAGGAGGAATAAATCCTCGATCTCTCTGTAAACGTCACATTCCAACTGACTTGAATATCATCCAGGTAGATTGCTTGAAGCCTGGTTTTTAACTAAGGTTGATCATCATTAAGAATTCAACATTCAAAAGTGTTGATCTTGTCAAACAATAATATTAGCACAACATAAAATAAACAATATAAACACTGCACACCTTTTATTCTTGGATTTTAGGATGTAAACACCCCTGTAAGCCTGGTTTGTCCAACCTATGTAAATACCAATACAAAACCAAATATCTAAAGATACCAGTTCGATTCTCATAGCTGGAAGAACATTTAGGATAAGTAGGGGGGGGGGGGTAACTACAAAAGAGGTTCAGTAATTAAAAGAGAGTTGAAAAAAATTCTTTATCTAGCTACAGGGTGTATTATAAGTGTTAAAACAGTGTTAATTAAACTGAAGTGAAACCTTAAAACCATCATCTTTGTCATGTGTCTTAGCGACAATACCTTGAACATTTTCTTATTTAAGTTCTCATTTACAAACTAATGATCATAAGATTTGGACAAGGAAATATTTAAATTAAGAATGAAGATAAACAAAAGGATCTAGGAAACCTAAGTTGGGAGTCTAAAATCCATGAACAGTTGGGATAAAATAATAGACTTTGGAGTAGAATTGATTGGGAATAAGTTAGGTGAATTATGAACTATAATAGAAATGGATTCCAAAACAATTGGGAATGGATCCAATGAATATGGAATTATATAAGGAAGATTTAAGAAGTTTGGATAATTGAGAATAAGGTATAAGTAAGATAATAACTAATTGGTAGTAGGCAAAGCAGATTGGGAAAAGAGATCAAATCTTTTCAAGAGGAAGAATGGTTAGGTAAAAGTTTGGTTGGTAATTATTATTTATTAGGATGTAGAAAAACTTGGCATGTTGGGAGAAGTTTGTAATAGTACAAAAGCAATAATATATATGAGTTTTACCTAAGTAAAATTTGACATTATTCTCAACGGTTTGAACATTTCAGCATGATGTAATTATTGCAATACTTTAGTCTAAAAATATTTTATACCCTAACTTGGCCAGATTTTTAAAAAATAGTTTTATCATCGAGAATTGGAAACTCTAAAACACATAATAATCGAAGGATTCCGAGGTGGCTAGAACGAGAAATTGTTGTGGCTGACCTTCCTCCCTATCGTCTACGATATTTTAAATAGTAAATTCTGTTACTTCAAATAATCTAAGTTTAAAATATCTCAGGTCTACATCATCAGGTTGCAAAGAAAAATCTTAAGAACGTTTGTATGGTTTTACGGAGAAAGTTTTTTTTAATAAAGATTGTTTTGTCCCCAGGACATGATCGGGTTATTACGATCAAATCTCGGAATTTTTTCTATTGGGAAGATTTGATGTTGTATGGGTTTTTATTGATCTACCAGGGGTTGTAATCTGGCAGCACATTCATCCATCATCTTTCACTTGGATCAATCCAATTAGAGTTTTTTTCTTGTTGAGTAGAAAGCACGCACCCTTTCGCTGCGAGAGATGTTGACAGCCTCCCCTCTGTCCTCCTACATCCGCCAGATGTCGGCTTCAAATGTTTTTGAAACCACAGGTTTGTGTGGAGTACGGGAATCGAACCCGTGAACACCAGTCTGGACACCAATCCAGTTACTGGCTGTGGACAAGTGTGCTTAACTTCAGTGATCTAACGAGAACTGGTGTCACACACTAGCCACCCTACCCCACTTCCGGAGAAAAATTGAGATTTTAAACTGGATTTTTGATGAGCCATCTGTGAGCCATGATAAGCCAGGAGCTGCCGTACATAGCAGTGTTGATTGGGATGTGTTGTTTACTCCAATCCTGTTTAATTTAGAACGTAGTCTCCTAGTTACTATATATAATTCTAGTATTCGTTTTTAACTTAAAATTACAAATTCAATGTTACATTTGATTTTTATAATTTCTCTCTGTATTCTAGGACAACATAGAGATGCCGGAGGCCCCTAAACAAGGGTTCCTCAAGGGACTATTTGGAGGAGGACCTAAACCTCTAGATAGAGAAGAACTGTTTGGAGAGAGTTCAGGAAAAGCTTCCTCGTCCCTGGCTAAAACTATACCTGGAGCTAAACTCATGGATCTCCAGGTTTACTTTTCATAAACAAATCCTGATGTTATGTTGAACTGTGTACTATGTATACAAATTCAGAAAGAATGATTTTATCAGAACTTATTGTGTCTATTTTTAAATGCTAAGTGACAAATTTTATATTACATATAGAATAAATTAGGACACCCTTCGGGTACATATGTTACTCTAAAAAAAACGCCAATTTGGTCCAGCCGTTCGTTGGGCCATCTATAACAAACAATTATATATGAGCGCCAATGACTGAAAAACGACCTGTATGGAGGAAACAAATGTATTTTTTTTATCAATTATTAATGATATCGGGAAACTAAGTTGTCTGGCCACTGTTTTACCATTATGAAATATCTTAATAATCAGAATATTCAATAAACAAACACAACATTCACATTAGAAATGTTATTTTGTTTCAAACTTATTTCGTAAAACTTTTTATGAAACTGAACAATAGATTCCATTTTGTTCCTTTCAGTTTCTCTATTTTAAGGATAAAGAAATACGTCACTTATTTCTAAAGTCGGTTTTTTAAGAGATTATCTTTTTATTAAACCTAGATTTAGACGTCATAAGATATGAAAAATACAATACAGGCCAACACCCACAGCGTATTAGCTTAATATATCTCTAATCTTCTACTTATCATACTTTTTAATCAATTGTTGAATAATTTAATTAAACCTAGATTTAGACGTCATAAGATATGAAAAATACAATACAGGCCAACACCCACAGCGTATTAGCTTAATATAACTCTAATCTTCTACTTATCATACTTTTTAATCAATTGTTGAATAATTTTCGGAAAACACCAGGTTTAGTTTAAATCTAAAATGTTTTTTTTATTTTAAAGAAAAAGTTTTTTTAAAAGATGTATTAATTTTACATAAGATGAATCAATGATGGAAAGGGGGTACCGGACCCATATTCTCTAAATAACGGGTTTTAATGATAATAATAATAAGAATAATAATAATAATAATAATAATAGTAAAAATAATAATAATAATAATAATGATATAATAATGATAAAAAAAATAATAATAACAATAGTAACAATAGTTATTGCTATAAACCCAAGTAATCTGTACATAGTTATTTTAGAAGGTTTAGAAAAATGTGTTTTTAAAGAAAATTAAATTTTTTTATTTTTAATCGTCATTTTATTTATGTTTGGTGATTATTTCAGGGGAACAGTGGTGGTGCAACTAGTGAGGTTGCCAAGGCTAAGCAGGCAATCTGTGAACGAGGACAGAAACTAAACGAGATTGAAGACAGGACGGAGATGATGTCAAACGAGGCTAAGGTTAACAATTTTATCCAATCAGTCATTTTGATTGCTTCTCCATCATTTCGTTCAATTGATTTTAAATCTTGTATTTTCTTAATTACGTCCATCCGGTTGCTAAGTTTAACATACTTAGCTCTTTTTGAAACTGTGACTTAAAAGCGCAACTAGGGGGGGGGGTAATTCTCCTTGCCCTTTTCCTCATCAAAATTTCCTCCATTTCACAGGTTCTCATTTTCACCAAAAAAAAGGCGATTTGGGCCTCAAAATCACAATCCCCCGAATTTTATCCCCCCCCCTTACTTAACCTCTAGTTGCGCCTTTACTTATATTTTCCCGCCCAAAATTTATCACACAATGAATTCTAAAATTTTCATTTTCAGATTTTTGCGGACAATTCCCACAACATGATGCTGCATTTCAAGAATAAGAAATGGTACCAGTTGTAAGATCAATCAATCAAATACATATTCATATTTACATTCCATGATATGGACACTATCTAGTGTCTAGTGTCTAGAACACTTCTAGACAATTGTTTACAATACCAGGTTTTTTACCCGACATCCAAAACCAAAGATAATTTAATCACTAATCTATAGAAGTATGTTCATCAAATCAAATAAATTGAAATATTAAAAACTTCAAAAAGTATAAATATCTCGTGAAACAAATTTTAGGGCATTGAATCAATTATGAACCCCAAGCTTTCTCTGTGAACAGTTTTGATAGATGAATATGTGATTATAATTTAAAATTTGACGGTTCATCTACTCTAGTCAAAATTGATTAATTAAAAAATTTCAAAATCTTGTGAAACTTTTTTTGTTAAAGATTAATAATATCTTGTTGATGTGGCAACATTTATTTGGACGGGACGGGACGGATTTGACAATTATTTGTCTACAAATGTTTTTGTATTTACGTTAAACTGTATTCTGTTGTACTTTAATATTGTTTACGCAGATGAATTGTCTGAATAGATGAAGTTTGTAATTGGAAAATAACAGTCCCTTAGGTGGGATAACCCAGAAATGATTCCCCTCCCATCCCCCTCTCTCCGACTCCCGTTCACCCCTCCTTTAACAATACTAAACTAAGATCCATGTATATTGATATTGGATATTGCATATACATCAGATTAAGAAATAAGAGGAAATTTTTAATCCTCAAGCCTTTCTGATTTTATCCCTTATAACAAACAAATATATTTATTTTAGTTTTTATCTAAGTAAATATCCTGTTAATAACAGATAAACAATGTATTTTTAAATTAGATTAAGATTTGTTTATTTTCTTGTTGGTCTTTCATAGTTTATATTTTATTCTGCAGACATAATGTTAAATACAAGTTCGGTCATGAGCATTTGTGTTGATAAATTTCTATCAATTAGTTCATTTTCAATGTTTCATTTTGTACATTGTACAGTGTACTGTACACTATACAGTGTTTGTTTAACTGTCAACAATTCTAAAAACCGAAGTGAAAAAACACTCCTTAAGTACATTATTTGGGAGTACTTAGTACTTTATATAGGAGTACTAAGTACTTTGTCTAGAAGAACTTGGTACTTCATCTAAGAGTATTTAGTATACTTTATCTTTAAGTATTAGGTACTTTATCTAGGAGTAATCTAGAAGTTCTTAGTACTTAACCAGAAGTATTACTAAGTATTAAGTATTTCTATTGAGTATTTAGTATTTGCTTTATAAGTACTTAATACCAACTCTAGCAAAACTTAGTCTCTACTATAACAGTACTTAGCACCTATTCTTAAATTTCTTTGTACTTAATGCATCAGTTCTAAGTATCTGTTCTAGAAGAACTAAGTATTTTCTGTAAGAGTAAGTACTTAATTTGTGGATACTTACTTAAAAGCTTGTTGCTCTCTACCTGAAGTGCTAAGGTTTTTATCTTGTAATACCTACAGTGAAACCCTTAATAACGAATACATCGAAAGAATTCATCAAATGTCGTATTCTTCACTTCCTGATAATGGAATGTTGCAAATATTTAGTTTTTTAATTAAATGATTATATGGAACTCTTTAAAACTGTTCCCGCATATTTATGGCTATTTATTTATTTTCGCAAATACTGAAATTCACGTAATACAGTATAAAACTCATTGAAAAATTGTCAAGACGACATTTGATCAATTCTTCCGATTTAGTCGTTACTAAGGGTTTCACTGTAATTAAATATTACTTAAGGAGTTCCCATTCCAGTATAATTTTTTGTTGTATTGTGTACTTGTATGTACAGTGTACTGTATACTACTATGTACTGTTTAACCCAATGCAGAACTTGTTCTTCCAGTATTTTAACATGAGCATTGCGCTTTGTTCCAGATCCAGAAATAAATAAAGTTAAGAATCATTTTTCGAAACTGATTTTGTTCAGAAATCCAATATTATTCATAACAAAAAAATCTTTTCAAATCCAAAATTTAGCAGATATTGTTCAATATTTTTAATTATATTTTTAATATTATTAAACATTAATTTAATACCGACTTAGTTACTTTTGTGAAGTTGGCTACACATGGAGAATAGTAGAGAGAGAAAACTGGATAATTTTTAGATAGATATTTATAGATAGATGGAAAGTTTTTTTGATAATGGTTAGATAGATGGATAGATATATGAATGGATGCATAGATTTTACAAAGGATAAACGATTAAATAGATGGATTTTTAGATGGATAGATGGGTAGATGAAACGTATATATACATAAATGTATAGATGGATAGGTAGATCGATATATGAGTAGATAGATAGTATGTTTTAAAAATAAAGATTTATCTGTGGGAAGTGCAGAGAATATAAGTGAAATCCTTAATAAAGAATACATCGAAAGAATTCATCAAATGTCGTATTCTTCACTTTCTGGTAATGGAATGTTGCAGATTTTTAGTTTTTTAATTAAATGATTATATGGAACTCTTTAAAACTGTTCCCGCATATTCATGGCTATTCATTTATTTTCGCAAATACTGAAATTTACGTAATATAGTATAAAATTCATTGAAAAATTGTCAAGACGACATTTGATAAATTCTTTCGATGTATTCGTTATTAAGGGTTTCACTGTATGATAATGTCCATGTTATTAACCATATACATACTGAATTAATTTACACTAAATATGAGATTGCAACGACGACCCAAAACTCTTTAGATATAACGATCAGATGGTTAAATTGCCTTGAAAATAGTCTTTTAATCGTATTTTGGAAAGAGTAAGCAAAGTTTACAACTTCAGCCGATCCTGATCAGGAAACCTTAACAGTCGTCTCTGAAGTAGCATCTTTTGTGAGTAACCCTGGTATATAAGTAATGAAATAGTCACTTTGTTCAAAAAATAGATGTGGTTACCAGAATAACATTTATATCTAAAAAATATATTTTATTACGAACATAAATAATTAAATAATATAAAATAATAATTTAATTAATAATTTTCATAAGGGCTTGAAGAGTCATGAGTTTCTACAATTCAAAAATTAACTTTTTGATCTCTGTTCATTCAGGTTTGATTTCATGATCAATGATTGAACTATTTTGATCGTAATACACGATAATTGATCAACTTGTTTGTAGTTGTAGTTGAATAGTGTCACACTAACGAGGATTCAAACTTTTGTAACGAATACCAGCTTTTAAATTGTCAAAACTAAGTTTAGTTGTGATTTGAAAAGAAATGTCCTTGTTGGTTGCATTAATTGAACAAATAATTTAGTTAATATGTAATTTTCACCATAAAGGAAAATTGTAAAATCTGTATGCTTTTAAAGTTTTCCTCCGTGTATACTCTATAGTAAGGTTTCTAGATAGGAGTTGGAGTATTGGTTGGTTGGTTGGTTGGTTGGCTGCTTTGGTTGATTGGTTGGTTTGTTGATTGATTGATTGATTGATTAATTGATTGATTGGTTGGTTGGTTGGTTTGGTTGGTTGGTTGGCTGGTTGGCTGGTTGGTTGAATTTAAACATTAATACTGGAGCATCATCTTTACAAATTCATCATAGTCTAGTTTTCCATTTCCATCCTAGCAATATTAGAATATTAAAGGGACTGTAAATGTAAGTTTAAGTGACCCTCCATGCAAAGATGGCGATGGTACCCTTGGAACCATAATCTGATCAAAAATGTGAACGATAACGTCGTTCTTCCGACTCTTTAAGTGTTAGATTCTCTGTGAACTGAGGGGAGGAAGGACAACCACAACAATTTCTCATACCAAGCCACATTCTCCTCATTTTCTCGTTCAAGCCACCTCGAAATCCTCGTCCTTCTATTATTTTTAAGTGTTTAATCCTCCCAGAGATAAACCTATTTTTTTTAAGAATCAGGCCATATTAGGGCAAAAATGAAGTATTGAATTTTTTAAATCTAAAAAAAATATTTCAATTGAATTAAAGTTTTCACGTTTAATGTCCCCACAAGCGTTCACCTTTATTTCGTGCATTTTCTGATATTCCTGGTGAAGAATGCCGCAAATAATTCCGAGTTTATAGAACTTCAATCTTTTTTGTTAATTATAGTGAAAACCATAGAATTTCTCCGGGTGGTTCCATGGGGAAAATGATAGGCATATGTATGCCAAATATTTTATTTTATATCGCGAAGGTAAGCTATTACGGAGGCAGAAGAGATTTAGGTTTTACCTAAATAAAGTTTGAAGATTCCAACATGATGTAATCATTGCAATACTTTAGTCTATCCATATTTTATGCCCTATCGTAGCCAGATTTCTAAAAAATAGTTTTATCTTCAAGAATTGGAAACTTTAAAACACATGATAATCGAAGGACTAGGATTCCGAGGTGGCTCGGACGAGAAAATGAGGAGAATGTGTCTCGGACGAGAAATTGTTGTGGCTGGCCTTCCTCCCCTCGTGAACTTATCCATCAAGCAAGATGTGCAAGTCACTTTTACAGAGAAACCCCAAATTAAAAACAAACAACTAAAAGAAACAAAAACCTAGTTATCTAATTAATACTTGATCTTTGCATGGAGGATTACTTGAATCTACGCTCATAGTCAATATTATTGCAAAACGTCCAAGTTTTCGGTTCAAAAAGAAAAACGGCGAGTTTATAGGTAATTATGCAATGTTCAATGCACACAGGTTGTAAGCTCTCTCGTAAAAAGTGTCGAGAATTATGTCAACTTTTTGAGACTTTTCAAGAACTAAAATTAACAACAAGTGCTTTATATTTATAAAATTTATATGCCTAGGGCAACAAAAAGTTAGTGAGGTAAAATCAAAGGCCAAGCTTTGAAACACTTTTAAAGTCGACCCGGTCTTAAAAATTGATGCAGCCTGGATCTATGTGTACTTTAATATTCACATACTCACACAGACACCTCTTTGCCTTCTTTGCTGATAAAGCTTTAATAATCATTATCAACAATCGCTTAGCAGCTTTGAAAGTTTCATATCTTGGGCTTCAAAAAAGTTAACGTAGTTTGTTAAGATTAAAACGAAGGGCAAAGAGTTGGAGAGAATTTTTCCAAGAGCAGAGGACGGAACTTGCTGTATAAGATACTAATAAACAAAGTATTACAGGGTGTCTAAAAAACTAGGATTAAGGGTCTACAGACTTGTTTATAATCGGATTATCAAGATTGCGACCATTTTTATATCTATGTACAGTTTCTGATTTAATTAGCTCAATTTTAGGCTCCTAAAGTTTACAACTGGAGCGAGTAAAAAGTAAAAGATGATCTCCGTTTGCACAATTTTGTATTCAATGTTACGTATCAGTTTAATTCACAGTTTATTACAATATTATTCAAATGTCCATAATTATCAGCAAGCAGGGCCCTTGATCTATAAACATCAGCAAGCAGGGCCCTTGATCTATAAACATCAGCAAGCAGGGCCCTTGCTCTATAAACATCAGCAAGCAGGGCCCTTGATCTATAAACATCAGCAAGCAGGGCCCTTGATCTATAAACATCAGCAAGCAGGACCCTTGATCTATAAACATCAGCAAGCAGGGCCCTTGATCTATAAACATCAGCAAGCAGGGCCCTTGATCTATAAACATCAGCAAGCAGGGCCCTTGATCTATAAACATCAGCAAGCAGGGTCCTTGCTCTATAAACATCAGCAAGCAGGGTCCTTGATCTATAAACATCAGCAAGCAGGGCCCTTGATCTATAAACATCAGCAAGCAGGGCCCTTGCTCTATAAACATCAGCAACCAGGGCCCTTGATCTATAAACATCAGCAAGCAGGGCCCTTGATCTATAAACATCAGCAAGCAGGACCCTTGATCTAATTTCAAAAATAGCCTTTTGGGAGACAGCAGGGTCTGCAGTGCTGCTATTTCTCTCCATGTGTTGACCTCATGTTAGTAAAGTGAATGAAGCTAGGGGTGACCTTTGGAAACTTAGGAACCTATAAGATTGTAATTTTCAGATCTACATGCCTAAAGTTGAGCTAATTGAATCGGAAAAGGTACTAAATATCTAAAATGGTCTCTATCATGAAAATCCGATTACAAACAAGTCTGTACACACTTATCCAACATTGTGTAAACGGAGATCACTTTATTTTTACCCAATTTACTTACTCCAGTTGTAAACTTTAGGATCCTTTAAAATTGTCATTTTAGATCTACAAAGGACAAGCCTAAAGTTGAGTTCATTGAATCGGAAATTGAACTTAAATTAAAAAAATGGTCTGAATCTTGAAAATCCGATTACAAACGAGTCTGTAAACCCTTATTCTTCGTTTTTATTAGACACCCTGTAACTGTCCTTGCTTGTTGAATATTTCTCATTTACCGAACTCTAATTTGTCGTGGCCTCTGATTGGCCAGACATTTTTCAAATGGAATTAATTTATCCGTCACATTACAAAGATACGGAAAAGAAATTCTGGATTTAAGTATTATTCCACTTCGCTGAAATTAATCTTTTTCCCAAATTCGCTGAATTGGTGAAAAGTTTTTTGGGAAAAGTATCAAAAAAAGATAAAAGAAAATTGGCTTTTGATTTTCAATTCATCAAAAATTAACAATCGATGGATCACTTTAACAAAATTAAGATCTTATAATTTTAAAACTAAAGAGTAAGGAAAAAAATGTAAATGATTTTGGTCTATACTAATTTAATTCACAACAAATTATGACATACCAAGATGGCGATCAATCGAAAAAATCAATGATAACCAGAAAAAAACAGGATTTCTCCTTCATTTTACTCAGACGAACAAATTAAGGATTTCTATTGTGAATCGGAAGTGTAACATTTTAGAAAAAGGGCCATTTGAAATAATGTCACTTTTCAACTATAAAATGAAAAAAAAACTCACCACATCCGCCTCTTTCATAAAATCGTCAACTTCCTCTTTACTCAGCATAGCACCCAACATATTGGCAACCTGTAATATACATACTAGATGAATGAGCATAGAGTGCACCCAACATATTGGCAACCTGGGATATACATACTAGATGAATGAGCATAGAGCACCCAACATATTGGCAACCTGTAATATGCATACTAGATGAATGAGCATAGCACCCAACATAATGACAACCTGGGATATAGTACTAGATGAATGAGCATAGCACCCAACATATTGGCAACCTGTAATATACATACTAAATGAATGAGCATAGCACCCAACATATTGGCAACCTGTAATATACATACTAGATGAATGAGCATAGCACCCAACATAATGACAACCTGGGATATGCATACTAGATTAATGAGCATAGCACCCAGCATATTGACAACCTGGGATATACATACTTGATGAATGAGCATAGCACCCAACATATTGGCAACCTGGGATATACATACTAGATGAATGAGCATTATAGCACCCAACATATTGGCAACCTGTAATATGCATACTAGATGAATGAGCATAGCACACAACATATTGGCAACCTGTGATATAAATACTAGATGAATGAGCATAGCACCCAACATATTGGCAACCTGGGATATACATGCTAGATGAATGAGCATAGCACCCAACATATTGGCAACCTGGGATATACATACTAGATGAATGAGCATAGCACCTAACATATTGGCAACCTGGGATATACATACTAGATGAATGAGCATAGCACCAAACATATTGGCAACCTGGGATATACATACTAGATGAATGAGCATTGCACCTAACATATTGGCAACCTGGGATATACATACTAGATGAATGAGCATAGCACCCAACATATTGGCAACCTGGGATATACATACTAGATGAATGAGCATTGCACCCAACATATTAGCAACCTGGGATATAGTACTAGATGGATGGAAATAGAGTTTACCATTGTATTATTTTTATAGTTACAGTTGAGAATTGTTAATGGCACTTTTTTAGGCACCATCAACATATTTTATTACGTTTTTCATCGTCGTTATTGAATAATTTTTAAAAACCCTGTTCTCAAAATCATCTCTCCAAAGTTGAAAAGTTTTACACCGTAAAACGTCTCATAGGTTTCCAATGAATCCTGAAAATGTTCTCTACAATACTGCACTCTCAGCTCAACTACAATGTCTAGCCAGTCTCTCCCTTAAAACCAAGTCTATTGCGCTTAAATTTCCGCGACTTGAAAACTTGCTTCTTAAAAACAGTAGTAATTACTTCTGTTGTTTATTTTGAATTATATGAATTGTGATTTGCATATAGTTTTTATAACAGGGCAGGTGTATGAGGTGTATGTAACTGTCAGCAGAGGTGAAACAAAACAAAATGCAATGTATTTAAATATTTGTAGCCTTTAAACATACTCTGCACTCTTTAAGCTTCAATTCTCTCATCTTTAAGATTTTGAAATTCCAGTGAAAGAACCGGGAATAGATAAGAAAGGAAAAATATTTAAAAGTATTTCTTGTTTTCTAACCACACTTTTTTATTCTTTTTTTTTTGCTTTTTAAAAAGAAAAATATTCTGATCTTTTGAGTTTTAAACTTTTTAAGTTTACTAGAGTATGAAGCCTAAGATTTGAAGCTGCAAGGAAGAATTTTAAATCTTGTAAGATGAAAATCATCAGATATATTGCTTTTTTCTTACAAGAATACCAAATACAAAGACACTTTTTTCGGATACAGGGAAGAGGGCAGGGGGGGGGGAACATGCAACTTAAAATTCACAACGGTACGATACCATTGGAAGCTTTGTCTGATCAATAATGCATGAAATATATATTATCTCCTCTTTGAAAATTCATTATTTTTAATTGTGAATTCTAATTACAGTGACTCTCTTCAAGAGTAAATAGTGATTAAGGTGCTTAGTTTTGATTAAAATTATCCGTAGTTGCAGTGGTTTAGTGGTCCTTAAGATTAAATTATTTACTTTTAGATGCATCAAACATGACGATGTGGCTTAAACTTGCTTTTTAATTTTCAATACACTACGGGGAAAACATAAACAATAAAAATACACAGGATATCTCGAGTTCTGTAATCCTTTATCCTCTCTGAAATCTAGAAACCTTGAGTTCTTTATTTCGTCATCTTCTCTGAACTATAGAGTTCTGTAATCTTTTATCCTCTCTGAAATCTAGAGTTCTGTAATCCTTTATCCTCTTTGAACTCTCAAGTTCTGTAATCCTTAATTCTCTCTTAACTAAATATTACCTTCTTTAGTTCCTTCATATCGATGAACCCATCCTTGTCTCGATCAAATATTTTAAATGCTTCCTTGAGGTCTGCCTCCTGAAAATACATATATTTAAATTACATGGTATTGGTAACTTTACAAGAAATGTGACATCGATGTCGAATTAAGTTCTTGCTAGTTTCGTGTTGTATACTGACAAATCTAAAATAACGTCTTTTGTATTTCCAAGTAAAAAGTAACTTAGGTTTGTTTCCTCTATATCCGTTTACATTGCATCATGTTCTTAGCTTTACAGATCTAGTATTGTTATTTTGAAACTAAAACGTATCAAGTTACATTGTCAGGACAAATAACATTCCAAATTATTCTAAAACAAATTGTTTCTGAAACTTTAAAAGCGATGTTTAAACCTCGGATTACTACGCAGAATATAATGCTGCAAAGCTATATGAGCTTCTTCAAAACTATAAACATTCAAAAGTAAAAAAAAAACATTCAAGAGATTAAAATAGTGTTAAAGAAATTTACAAATACATTTTTATCTCTTTTAATGCGTCAAGATGTCTACTTTAAGAAACAATTATGCATTGTTCAAAACTAGACTTATCCTAAAGTTTATGATAGAATTTAGAAGTTCAATACTTTTGAATTTAGATTTAGTAGAGCTGCGCAATACGAATGTTCGAACTTCTAGAGTTCAATACTTTTCAATTGGCTATTCATCGTTCTATAAACATAGCGTTAAGAACTTGTTTAAAAAAAGGCAAAGGTCCGATATCGCTAGAAAAAAATGTGTAATGGTAAAAGAAGGTGGAAGTAGTTTTTGCTATAGTATCTTTGTTTCATAACTTGAAGTATAAGCTGTAATAATATTAATTACTCAAAGCTTGCAAAAACATCAATGTGTCATTAATTCTAATCTAAAAGTCGACTCCATTTTTGTTTGGCATACTGCATTTTTTTCTGAAAGACAGACATTTTCTCCTTGTCTACTTTTTCTTTCTTTCTTTGTCAAGTGCTGTCGTGTACGCAAATGAACAGTACGTAACGGATAGATCCATAATATACAATTTTTTTCTTCAAATTTTTGTGTTAGACCTGATCTGCTTCACTAGACTTCTGTTTCATCATCTCCAGGAACTCCGGGAAGTCGATGGTTCCGTCCCCGTTCAAGTCGACCTCCATCACGAGGGCTAGAAGCTCGTCTTCTGTTGGGTTTTGCCCCATCGACCTCATCACACCCAACAACTCTTTCGTGGATATAGTTCCGCTTCCGTCCTGCGAAAAATAAAAACTTGAAATAACAACAGAAATTCTTTTCCCGTCTCTCTTTCCTTTCTTTCTAGGATGTCGTATTAATTGTGACGATTTTTAAACGGTTATTTCGTTTTTTGGACTTTTCAAAGCTGTAAGAAATCTGAAATAGCTTCAAGCGTAATTATAAGTGACCCTCCGTGCAAACATAGTAATGCCTGATTTACAACGGTACCCTTAAAACATTGATCTGATAAAAATGTGGAAGATACTGTCGTTTTTCTCATTCGAAAAGTGTGAGTTTCTCCATTGCTTCTTATAAACAAGATTTGCAAAAGTCACTTTGCTGAGAAACCCGAAAAAGAAAATCTACAGTTTCAAGAAAACAAAACATTGATATCAAATTCACACTTGATCAGACAAAGCTTTCAAGGTTACCGTTGTAAATCGGTCATATTGTCATCTTTGCATGGTTGGTTACTTGAAATTACGATTACAATCCCTTTAACTATCAAATATTGACTACTTAAGAAAATTCCATAATGGGATGTAGTTTGAATAGAAGAACTTAAAAAATATGAAACTTGATTGAAACAATATAAAAAATACGAAGAAATACGAAAAATTGTCGATTAATAGAACATCCGGACCGACTTTAATGAATTAGAGAGGTCGCTAAACTTCCTACCACCGGATCAAATCTTGAACCACCGATTCAAATCCTAATGAATCTCCAACTTTAAACTGGCATTAGGTAGTTGAGCTAGTTCATATTCATAACAAATCGGTTTCTATTTATTTAAAGTTTTTAAATCAGTGCAGTGTCTTCCTAACTCGGAATAATTAAGGCCTTCGTCTCCACGATCTTAAATGAAAAGTTAGAATTTGTTATTTTATTTCAGTAAACAAAACTTTCAGTTTGAAAGCTAAGAAAAGTGCATTCAACATTATGTGATTCGATCCACTTCTATTTTTTAGGAAAAACTGAATACTTGAACTGCTTTCTACAAATAAACATATTTTAAAGATTTTTTTGTTTCTTTCATTTGAGTTACAAGTAGATTTCTAAACTATTAATGTATTGTTAACCATGAACTACTAATTTTTTAAAACCATTTTCTAAAGTACCTATACTTCTGAAGTATAGTGTACTACTTCCTAACTTCCTAGAACTGAACAAATAAGCAGCAAGTAGCTATTTTGAAGTTGAATGTGGCGCAAAACTCCTAAATTTCTTGTCTAACTGTTGTTAAATTACATGTATGGTGAAATTGTGTCCATAGGTTTAGTTGCACCTAGTGTCCTTTATCAGTATTGTAAAGATACTTAATTAGGAAAAACAAACATTTATCAAAATTTGTTAAAAATTAAATATTTTAAAACATAAATTTGTGACAGTGTCAGTTTTATCTCAGCTTTCTTAGATGTACTTTTAGTTTAATTTAACTTGAGACTTTGAGGTATCATACTTTTTTCAGATGTTTTTTTTTCTGATACATTTTGTTATTTCATATTTAAGTAAAACAATGTCTAAAATTCGTTTCAGTTGATAGTTTGAAATTATTTTTCGTTCAATCAAATCATTGATCTATTTGTAAACTATTTCGACCTTCTAGAATAAAAAAGAATGTTAAAAATGTTTCAATTCTTTTAAAAAAGTAGTTTTTCTTTTTATGTAGTTGCTAAGCGAGATCAGGCGGAAAAGTATTCTATCGTTAATAAGTAAAAAACTATTTAGCATTCCACCAAAATTGTTCCTCTCCTGATAAATTATTTTTCTGGCAAATTATTTTTGAGGAAAAGCGTCAAATTTTCTTGTTTTCATGCTTTCTCTTTGATACACGCAGCTTACAGTAAACAATATATTCTCTTGTATTTAGATTACCTGGATGCACTTCTGTCAACCTATGTTTTTACTTTTTACTTCTGTATGTCTCATCTAATTTTCTACACTAACTGGGAAAATTCCTTAATGTTACTTATTTAAACGTTTTGTCAACGTAAAAAGCTATTTACTTTAACACCCTTTTAAACTTTTATCTAGAAAATCCTGAGTAAACTCTCTTTGAATAAGTCCTACAAAAATATGTTTCAAATTTTTAAGCTTAGAGGCCGAATTTTAAGAATTTGAGACGTGGCTCAAACATAGTTGGTTCCACCTAATATTGTATCCAGTGTTTCGAGATTTGAACCGACCCTCAATTGGAACCGGTTTGTGACGGTTCAGCTAAATGATTTAAACTCTTTGAATTCGACCTTAGGTAATTTTCAATACTGGGTGACTTCCTTTTTTAATCCTCACAGATAAGAGAATATTACAGGGAAGCAAATAAATATCTAGAACTGTAGCACTGCATGGTTTAAAAAAGAAAGAATGAAAAATCTAATTTTTAAATATTCGTCTGACAACAATTAAAAAAATAATTAATATTTTTCTTTATAATTTTCAGTATCTTGGTCTTCTTACTTTTTAACTGAAAAAAATTTATCTTAGACATTTTTACATTTTAAAATTTTCCGAATATCCCAGTTTGCCTGGAGGCTACAGGGTGTCCCACAAAACATAACAGTTGGTGAATAATTAAAAATGTCTTCTTCCATAATTACTTAAGTTGTTTAATACCAAAGAGAATTATAAGAATATTTAATGGGAGTCATATTATAGTAAAATTGATTTCAAAATAAAATATATTTTAGTCAAAAATTTTATTGAACGAAAAAAATATCTATTACAGTATAGGGAAGAAGACATTCCAAAATATTTACCAACTGTCATGTTTCGTGGGACACCCTGTATATCCTGTATATCATGCTTTCTACACCGTTCCATTCATTTGATCGGAACAAAACAAAGAAAATTTACTATATAGGTACCTATTCTTACATACAGGGTGTCCCAAAACCCCTCAATATTTGGGACATTATAAAATCTACCCAACGATTATAACAGCTCCTTTTAAGTAAATTAATGAAAATCATTGAGTAAATGTGTCACAAATTTAGATTTACTAGGGGTTTTTAATCTTTAAACTCTATAGGACGTCTATTAAGCAGTTTCTGATTTTTTCAAAAACACTATTAGTCCTTGTTACGCGAGCCATGCTGCGTTCATAAAGTCTATGTGATGCCCCTGTGAATCCCTGAGTTCTCCCTGAGGATCTGTACAGAACGTATTGTAAAAAACTAGTTTTAGAAGCTGTTTCCAGACCGACTACGCATGCGCAAGTTTTCTGCGTGGAAGCGGGCAGATTCTACCTTAGTGTATATTCGTGTTTCATGTAAAGATCGTCTATTATTAAAACCGTGTGAAATTCTAGGATCACTGCGGTAATTATGCTTATATTTATATGAATCTTGCTTATTTATGTTCGGTTATGGTTGATATCTTATAATGTAATGTATTGGTTCCTTGCCACAGTTTTTTAATGCCTGAGTTGATTTATTGCTGTGTTTGTATGATTTATCACTCAATGCTTTTTCTGTGGGCTTATAAAAGATTTTTTAGATTGAAGACTCAGAGAAATAAACGTTCGGAACCTTATTATCATCCTTTTGTTATGGAGAGCGTTGAGAGAAGGAAGTCTTACAATCCTGTCCAGAGAAATACCACTCGGTACTTTTAGAGTTTCATTAGGTCTTTAGGGAAATCGCTAAGTAGCGAAACAGTCCTTTATTAGTTAATTCATATTTAACTAGTGTTCAAAACATGATTAACTATTTCTAAAATAAAGTTAAAATACATTGTTTGATATAATTAAATTCAAGAGATTACTTTAACCACATCATCAGAATATAAAATGAGTTTAATTTATCTAATTTAATTAGATAAAAGTTTGGTTCACCAAAAGTTTACAATATTAATTACATTAAAAGACTTTCTTCCCCATAAACTCAGCTTTATAGACAAAATGACCGGTGTTCCAATAAACATGAAAATTAAGAAACAATTTATAAATTGTATTTGAATTCCAATATATTCGAAGGGAAACTAGTTTTTTTATATCTATATCTTGGCAACCCTATGTCGGAGACCTTTAATATTTCAAACTGTGAAAATATGATCAAATTGTCTAAGTTTGAAATATCAAAAATTGAAAAAATCAATTCCTTTGTTCAAAACAACAAAAACAATTTGATTCGGTTCCTTTGCAAAATGTTTAATTGGCAATTCATTTATCTCAGGTTGCAAAGATAATAGGAATATATAGTTTGAGTTTGTGACAAAGAATCAATTCCTTTTAACTTTAAGAGAATTTTTCATTGCATAAAGATGTAAATTTACACATTACATATCTGGCCGTATACTGTATTGAAATTTGAGGGGTTTTTTTTCATGCAAGGTTTCCAAAATGTAATCTATATTTCTTGTTTCTTCAAAATCGACGGATATGTTGTGTTTTTTTTTATTGCTACCAACATAATTTTAAACTAACTGTTTATAGCTTGTCGAACTTTTACTTTTTACTAACATTTTTATTAGAAAATGTTAGTAAACACCCTAAAGGCCCAGTTATTTATTAGATTGATTTCTTGATTCCTCCGTCAATGTTGAAGATGCGAAACTGGCAGTCCACAAAGTTTGGAAATCCCAAGACCGAAAATGTTTGATATTTGCTGCTGTTATGAGTGGATTAGAACGATGATCAAAGACTAGTTGAAGTCAACAATTGTTAAATGTTCTCTTAAAGCAGAGAACATTTAAAATCGTTTCATGGTTCAATTACGTTGAAACTAATAACTCATTTTACAAAATACAGAAAATATTTCAATATTTAAATTGTCAAGAAGAATGTCGGCCCTTCTCTTCATTACAACATTTTAAAATTTGTACTTTAGCTTTTATAATTATGATTTCAGGCGACTGGAAAAAAATCGACACAACCTTACAAAAGGCTACCTACCTTAAAGGGACTGTAAAGGAAAAATGAAAGGGGGTATAGGATGAAACCTGAAAATCTCAGGCGTTAAACGTTACATATAAAACATCTATCTGATGTTCCTGTCTCGAGAAACTTATATAAAACGAAAATCCATATATATATGCAATTTTGTATAAAAGTTGTAGTATTAAACAGATCATAATCAACAAATACGCAAATGACGATATCCCACAGGAGCCTGAGAATCTCAGGTTTGCTCCTATTATAATTTTTATTTTTTTATTTTTCATTTTTAATAGATATAATTGATAATATAATTACATATAGTCCACTATAGTCCGTATTAAGTAACCAGAACTTCAGCCAATGGCAGTGCAGTATACTGGTCACGTGATTTCCGTCTGTATCACGTGACAATGATACTGCACTACCATTGGCTGAAGTTCTGATGACGTAATACGGACTATACTCCCTTTCATATTTCCTTTTCAGTCCCTTTAACCCTTATTCTTACTTAAGAATAAATGTGTTCATTGCAAACTTTAAAAAAATCTTTTTCACAAAAATCATTTCTGATTTTCTTATCCCCTTTATTTTTGCAACCCAACATCGTAGACCTTAGATATTTTAGACTATGAATTCTGCTAAATCAAACAATCTAAATTTGAAATATCAAATATTTACACCATATCATGTTCTTGTATGGCTTAGAACCTTGATTTTGATTAAGTCTTTCAATTAAGGGGCGTGAACAGGAAGTTGTCAAGGAGGCTTACAATTAGAATTTTTTCTTTCCAGGGAGGGGCTTAGCACCAGCTGGGGCCTGAAAACCCCCATGGTAACCATAGATTTGTTTGATCCAGGGGGCAGAGATGCGCCTATGTCTTTCATCATAATTGTCAAAGATTAAAGATTTAAGTTCTAAACTCACAACTATCATCTATCATGTTTAAAGAGTACAAATACTGATATATATCCTTTACCTTGTCAAATTCATCAAATGCTTCTTTGAATTCAGCGTTCAGGAGCTCATCCATACTAGAGTTCCCTACCTAAAGATAGCATTCTGTACATTTTTATATACTTTTGTACATTATTCTATACTTTTGTACACTATTCTATACTCCAGAGCCCAAAACTTAAGACAGGGTATCGTTATGAAAACCAGTTTTGGAACCCGGGTTTCACAAATGGGTTTACCCAGTTTTGTAGATATCGATATTTTTGTTTTGAAATATTATTTTATTTAATCCTTTATATCTTACCATTTTTATCAAACCTCTTAAATCAAAATCTACACAAATAATAAGACCCCAAAAAGGAAACTCGGAAGTTTCGTTCAACGATACTCTTTTAAATTTCAGGCTCAGAGCCCAAAACTTAAGACAGGGTATCGTTATGAAAACCAGTTTTAAAACCTTGGTTTCACGAATGGGGTTTTGTGAATATCAATATTTTTGTAAAGTAATGTTATTTTTTCAGTTTATTTATAGTCTCCATTTGGGCATTATTTTGTACTCTTGTACCATCTTCTATTTATATATTTAGCTTGTCTGTCTGGGCATTTGTGTGTTTGTTTGTATCCAGAAAACGTCAAAACGGCTGAACCAATTAGGCCCAAATTTTGTATGGGACCTCACGTGACCCCAGGAAAGGTTTATGAATGGTCAAAATTTCAAATATTTGTCTCCATCAAAATGCGATTTTTATTAAATTTTGAAAATTTTGAAAATTTACGAAATTTGTTGTTAAAATCCGCGAACTTTTTTTTGTTTTTTTTTACGATGTACACAAAGAGAACATGTTAACAATTACAATAGAAGATAGGCTAGTTATTATATACTTCTGTACATTATTCTATACTCCTGTACATAACTATGTACTCCTGTACATTAATTTATACTTCTCTACATTATTCTACACTCATGTACATTATTCTATACTCCCGTACATTATTCTTTAATCCTGTACATTATTCTATACTCATGTACACTATTCTATACTCCTGTACATAATTCTGTACTCCTGCACATTATTATATACTTCTGTACATTATTCTATACTCCTGTACATAATTATGTACTCCTGTACATTAATTTAAACTTCTCTACATTTTTCTACACTCCTGTACATTATTCTATACGTCTGTACATTATTCTACACGCCTGTACATTATTCTATACTTCTGTGCATTATTCTATACTTCTGTACATTATTCTATACTCCTGTACATTATTCTATACTCCTGTACATTATTCTATACTCCTGTACATTATTCTATACTTCTGTACATTTTTCCATACTCCTGTACATTATTCTATACTTCTCTACAGTATGCTATACTCCTGTACACAGTTCTATACTCCTGTACTTTATTCTATACTCCTGTACATTATTCTATACTTCTGTACATTATTCTATCCTCATGTACACTATTCTATACTGCTGTACTTTATTCTTTACTCCTGTACATTATTCTATACTCCTGTACACTATTCCATACTCCTGTACATTATTCTTTATTCTGTACATTATTCTATACTTATGTACACTATTCTATACTCCTGTACACTATTCTATACTCCTGTACATTATTCTATGCTCCTGTACAGTATTCTATACTTCTGTACACTTTTCTATACTCCTGTACATTATTCTATACTTCTGTACTTTATTCTATACTTATGTACACTATTATATACTGCTGTACTTTATTCTATTATATGATCACCCTGCACCCTGTACCTTATTCATTCTCCCCCTAGATATGATGCACACAATTTGATAATATTATCTCATGCATTAATCTTTCATTTTTTTCTGAAAAGTTTTAAAATCAAATTTGATAACTGAAGTATTTTTTATTTTTAACTCTAGAATAATTTTACTTTTGCAAAGATTTATTTTTAACAGTTTTAAAATGGCATTTTTCATAATATCAATGCATGATGAAAAAGGCTTAATTTCTTCAACTTATGAAATTGATAATGGTACTGATAATGGTACAAGAGAAATCCAGTCCCACTGCTTTGCAGACGAGTTAGTTATTACACACGAACACTCTTTTAGTACAGACACACAACATGACTACAGTCAAGGAAATTGCAGGACAATGTCGTCAATTATAATTAAGCTTGAATAACGAGTAGTTTAATGTAAACTTTAATCAAATTATATTCTTTGCATGACGATTTGGCTTTATAGTGTTGATTTAAATATATAAATAATATATTACATGTATATTGAACTTATTTTTAAGTAAACAATTAACAATAAACAAATGTACTCTCCTAGACTATACAAATAGCGAGATTCTTATGTACTGTACTATATACCTACAGTACACGCCTTCGGTTCGTTATCACTTTCACACACTCTTTTGGTACAGACACACATACATGACGTTTCCGCCCCCCAGGATAAATTATGCATTCAAAAATTAATAATAAAAATCAATTATCTTTGCTTGGTGCCAATCTAAAATTTTCCTTGAATTACAGTAGGTCGCCAAAAAGAAATACTAACTTTCTTGCATAGTAATAAAATATTGTCAATTAAAATTTCCAGTTGAGGATGGGTTTTGAGTCTCTGAAATCCTCAAAAAAAACCTAAAACTTCGAACAAAAAAGATCCAATTGTCACTTAAAATTGCAAAGGTTCTCACTCTACATTCAACCCCCTTGAAATAAATAATCGCTTTAAAGTAGCAAAATGGTGGAATTTTTCCTTTCACAAATTGTTATCCAAATATTATTTATAATTTTGTAATGTTATTTCACGCCAGGTATATCAAATTTTCTGTGCAACATATGTTTATATTTACATCAATATCTAGTTCAAGTTACTAGAAAGGATTTTTAGTATCTATTATAATATAACACATCTTGAAAAATCTGCTTAAACGACCAAAATTGTTTTTAAAAAAAGCAAAATTCGAGGGCACGTTTTTGTGTATCTTTTAGGCACATTTGGGTCCTTATCACACTTTTTTGGGTCACTTTACATATATGTAAGTATATATTTCTAGCTTCCGAATAAAAAGTGACATACAAGTGCATTCTGTATTCATCAAAATCAAACAAACACATTAATCCAACAAATATTAATGAGCACTTAAAATCACTGGTTTACAATTTTATGATTTAAATCCGCGTGTCAGAACGTGGTCTCTTGTAACTATAGAAAGATTCGTATTTATGACAACAAGACTAGACTTCCATTATTTAATATTTTTGGTAAGTTTCTGTAAACTTTTTATCTTTGGTATTTGAACCCTGCATAACGCCTTTAGCTTGGTTTAAAGATAAGTTTTAACTTTTTAAGCTTTATCGTTGAATTTGTTTGAATGTGTAAATAGTTCGATACTTATTTTTTCACATTATTTAAAGTTATTTTCATCTGCACAATAGGGTTTCAGCACTTTTAGGTTTCTTTTTCACATTTCGACTGGTTTAGATAGATGTACATAAAGTACATGCAGTACCCGCATCCTGCGCATGTACAGAGAATAACTAAGAGCACTGTAAACTTGACACTGCACTAGGTTACTACTGACCCTAGATAAGCCTTTATAGAATAAGTTGGCCGGACCTAAACTAGGCTTTCCTTCCCACAACATTGTGCATTCTTCTCTACTCCAGGTAGATGTATAGGTAGCTACCTTTGTAGGAGTAATTAAACAGGTAGTTGTATAGGTAGCTACCTTTGTAGGAGTAATTAAACAGGTAGTTGTATAGGTAGCTACCTTTGTAGGANTGATGATTCATAAACCTTCCCTGGGCTCCCTAGATGTCCCACAAAAAATTTGGGCCCGATCGGTTCAGCCGTTTTGACGTTTATTGGATACAAACAAACAAACAGACAAACAAACAGACAGACAAACAAGCCAAATTTATATATAGATTTGAAGAATAGTAAAATGTGAAAAAAGTTTATCCCTATTCCCCACAACCACGGCCCCATCTTGCTTGCACAAGAGGGCCTTCAAAGGGAACATTTTTAAGATATCAGAAAGGAAATTATCATTTTAATGAAATTGGATACAAGCACCATGCAAGGTTTGAATATGGAGGCAGCGCTCAAATGCATGTATTAAAAATAAAAAAAGGCTAGGCCGGGAGCAGGACTCAGGGCACATGGGCATTATTATAGGTTTTGGTTTAGCCTAGTCGAGTGATCACTTTTGGCGCGTTTTTTTTGGGGGTTCACCAGCTCCTGAAGAAATCGCATCTAGAAAAACAAAATTGAGTTCTATATATTAACCATTTAAAAGGTGCATGCAGGCGCGGACACAGGATTTTAACCATTGGGGGGCACATTTTGTTTACCCCCGGGATTTTTGCCCACCATGGCCTTAAAAATACTGTTATTCTATATTAAGTCTACTAAATGTCCCCTAGGTGTCCCATTTAGTCCCAATTCAAGGACTATATATTGCAATGTATCACTCTG